ATGTTTAGGGAACCACCGTACTAAGCACCATCACTAATAAAAAGTGGGTCTAACTCAAACAAAAATTTAATAGGGCTATAAGATTAACTTTTAAACTTTTGTTGGAGGCTATGTGTATATTAATATAATACAATACATATTTAGGTAAATATATAGTAATTATAAAAATATAAAAAAAAATTGAGTGGGGGTTTAAGTTCTCCTACTGGGCCTTAAGAAAAATGTTTAGGGCACCACCGTACTAAGCACCATCACTAATAAAAAGTGGGTCCTATATATGGGTCTCACACTACGGAACTCACTTTTTATTAGTGAACGGTGCTTAGCACTACCGGTGCATTATAGCAATGTTCGGGCCTTAATTAGCTTCGTGAGAGCCCTTGAATGATTACCATGGTCATCACAGCACCCCCTCGTACCGGATAATGACTCATCCATCTATCTTCCTCAAACTAGGAATTAGGAAGATCACAACTCTATCGGGATTTTCACCGTGTCTGATCCCATGCATTATCATGGAGCTTTCATCTCGAAAGTTCATTTTTCACCACGAATTTCACGTTCATCGCGACCTAATTACTCTGGGGCCCATTAACTTTCGTCCGATTTTCTCTAGGGGCTCATCTTACACGCATACATAATTGTATTCAGAATCTCACTTTGATACTAATTGTTCGAAGTCCCATTTTGAAAGGTTAATTCATTGAGAGGCATAGCCCAAAGACCTCTTAAAATCTTGCTCAATTATATGTCCAGCCAGTATGGGACTGTTACGTACGTTCCGAAGATAAGGCTCCCTCTGCTCTAAGCTTTTTTAGCATGAATAATTTTTGCAAGTTATCTTCGATTTCGCTTTCTGAAGATTTAATTAATGACTCATTTAGTTCGCTGATTCGACTTTTTTAATTTGAATTGAGATGTGATTTTATGTGAGAGTTTTTTACTGTACTAAAAAAGTTAAATGTGACTCTTTCTGTGAACTTTTTACTGTAACAAAACTTGAATCGGTGAAATGAAGGAAGCCTAAAACAGTTTCATTGATTTGGATATAATGATGATTTACTTTAGTTATCACTGAGGCAATTAACATTAGATCTATCAATTCCCTTTTGTAACCAAATTTTCAAATTTTTAAGCCAATAAAAAATATTAAATTTGCTGACGTGGTGATATTTTATATGTTAGTATGTATGCATACGTGTGTATTAATCGTGCATCATAAGCTTCATATACGACAGTATATTATGCTGCGTGTAATGCGCATGAGGTGGGTTTTGTCTGATCAGACGCACATGATTCTGTCAATATTAGAGATTTGTTGCGATAATATTTGGTCAGACTTTATGAATACATCAATCAACAAGAGGAAGGAAAAGGGTCCATATAGATAATTAGCAGGTTAAAATCATCGTGTTATATAGGAGATCACATAAACAACTAATTTCTTTATAAATACATCTCAATGTACATATATATATATTTTCAAAGATTCCAAACTATATATGTATATACTTGACGTATGGGGTCCACTATTACCACACATACACTACCTCCTAAAATATATTCTAGCTATATATATGTATATTTCAGATGGATGAATGCATATATCTCCACTATTGAGCAATAAATATATATATATAATTGAGAAAACTATATAATTTGAAAATAGGGCTTGGATTATATATATATTGAATAAAATCATTTGGTACTCTGGTATAGCGAAACATTTTATTAGTACTCTGTATTTTTAATAGTATAAAATGGTATCTTTGTCTTTAAAGAAATATTCTTTTAGTATTTTGAGACTGATTTTTGAGATATAAAATATTCATTTTATCCTTCTTTCTGATTAACAATAAACTAATAACTTTTAAACAAAATTATGAAAATTATATTTTAAAACATTTAAAAATTAAACAATAAAAATAAATTAAAATATTTCCAAACACTATTTTTAAAGTTAGTAGTTTCTATTTAATTAATAAAAATGACAATTTAGACATTGTATGTCCCAAAAATCGGTCTCGTGTATTAAAAACATGTTTTAAAGGTTCCGCTTTAATTATTAAAAATATAGAGCACCAACGAATGTTCGACCGTAACAGAGAGTATCAAAGTAAATTTATCCCTATATGCGTGTATGTGTGTGTGCGATCTCTTTAAGCCAAGCCAGCTTGACATCCAATATGCAAGAACAATATATTAAAGGGTACTAAACTGTTCAATATTACACATTAACGAAGAGTGAGTCGCACTGTTTAAGATCTATATATTTTCTATTGCTTGTGGTGCTCAAGCACTTTTGATTTACACATAGAAAAATGCTTAGAAGCACTACTGTTGTTGAACAGTAGTATAAGTGATTCATAACTAATAGAGAATGCCATTCAAAAAAATAAAAAGTAATAAAAAGTGTGCTTCATTTACGGGCCTTACATTATAGACGTCCACTCCTTTTTAATGTATCATCGGTATCTTTTAGCATTGTTCCCTGCAAATGCACCGAACGATGCGAATAAGAGGAAGTTTCCTTTTCAAAATGGGATGTTGACTTTCTTTTCTATCTGTAGGCTAATTTTTCCTGAAGATCTAACCAACAATACCATACCCCATGGCATGTGATATTTGAGCAAGAGGCAAGTCTTTAATAAAACTCTTCCAAATATATCCAAGTTGGCTAAAGTGACATTTATTAGTGGACGTTTGGTTTATAAATTCAGAATCATTTTCAGTTTACGTATGTTTTTTGTGAGAGAAAATATTGTAACGAGCCACAAATTATGATTCAAACTATGACACGAATTCTCATACCAAACCACCAAGCTTTTTGGCATCTTTTTCATTTTGTTTTCCATTTTTGTCTATGTGTTTTCATGGGGGGGCTTATGGCTTTTCTTTCATCCCATATGCCTGCCTTTACAGTGTGGACATACACGCATCATAACTTGTCTGCCAAGGATTAAGCTCCAACTTTTATTGACAAGTGACTAGATCTAAAGTACGTCTCACACGATCATTTAAGGAATATCTATACCGCACACACTTCAAGCTAATTCTGCCCCAATATTGCTCTTGTACAGTACTTTCCAACTTTCTCCCAATTACGAGTTTGTGAATAGTATCGAGAGAGAGAAGAGAAGAGAGGAGAAGCTTAAAAAACAGAGTGTATCCTGTGATATTTAGTTATGACAGATCATTAAAGTTTCATTTCCATGGCTTTGTGAGAGATCAGCTGAGGCTAGAAACATTCTACCCCCTATTAATAATTTGGTGAGCTTTTTTCAACCTTTATTGATGGAAATTTTTTTTTCAATGAGCAATTTTTCGTGCTCTCAAGTTTCATCGACAATAAAGACGACATGTTAGTTTCACGATCATATGCATATATGTTGTCCCACGCAAGGATAAAATAACAGCTAAGAAAATGTCGACAGCTCCACTCTTTGGCACCAAGAGCTAGGGACAATTTATTAGCATTGCCCTTTATCACGCGTCGCATCTATATGGCGACTGAGATCGAACGGTGTAAAATTTGAACCATTTCTCAATTTGTTCAATCCACAGAAAATAATGGAGAATATTTTTTTTTATTTTAAAAAATGCTTTTTTTTTTTTTTTTTTTTTTGCGTATGCTCAATTTGCCTAAGCCACATGATAAACAATGGGTGAAGACTTGTTCCCATTTCTTGAAGGTGCAGATAGACATTAACTTGTCATTAAATTTGTGTGCACAGTCGTCTCATACACTTCTACTAACTGAGCTTTCAAAATATTGAGCTTGCAAGCTGAAAAGTAGTGCAATTAGATATGGTCGATCGATTCAAGTAACATTAAATTGAGCAGACTGCTTGTTTTGACTTTGCGCCATCTTGTCCCTTACGAAAGTTAAGTTTCATGTCTTGTCAAGAGATGTTATTACGCCCAATTGCTCAATGCCAAGAAGCTACACCAGTAATATTAGTATTAATTAGCTGGTCAATGTATTCCTTTTCATGGGAAATTAGCCGTGGTCCTCACTCCTCATCTCCAAACGTTTATCCCAATGGCTAATCAGACAACAGTCTGAGCCCTAGAATTCTGTAACTTCTACGTCCAAGCACTCAAAACGGATTCAAATAACCTATTCTATTTCGATGTCTAAAATGGTGTTTAACCAACTACATCATCGACATTATTTAAAGAAAGTTTAATTCAAGTGTCGAGCTAACTAGTAACTCTTGGACAGGGGTGGAGGTAATTAAGAGACGAGTGAATTCTTGAAAAATACAATTTAAACCTTTAAAGATTCTTAATTTTTTCATTTTTTTTTCCGCACTAAAATTTAAGATTCTCATATTCGCTCCCACCAAACTTTACCTTTCTCTATGTTATTTGTATATTTCTTTTATAAACAACTATACTCTTTTTATAAATTTTACTATTGACCTAATGCTTTCTATGGTGGTTTTTTTATACCCTATATTTTGAGGTTAATAAATTATACATTATATTTTGAATTGTATTACAATTACATTTACACTTTTATCTTTCAAATTCATGTTAGATCTGCACTTTTTTTAGGTCAAAAGTTGATTTTGATACAAAAACATCTTTCACATTTTGCAATTTTATTTTTATTTTGTATTTTTACTGTGATATTTAGGTCTTTTTTTTAGTTAAAATTGATCAATAATCTAAAAAAAGGTACGGATTAAGCATAAACTCACTCTCTGTCTCCAAAAAAAGTACACGCCACGCCCCCACTGAAGCAGAAGGCTGGCTCCGCCGCTGTACTTGGACAAACGATCTGAATTCGTTCACCTTGTTATTTATGTCAATATTGAATTGGTGTGATTAAGATGATCAGTTGCACATGAGGGATTACTTTTTTATTTTCCTTTTGCATATTTATTCGTCTCATTACCAATATTAATAGAAACATAAACTTCTTGTTGATGATCCAGATCAAGATCATGCATACAAAATCTCAAGCAAATACTATCTAAGACAATGGTCATGAATTTATTAATCTCAACAAGAAGCTCTAACATAATTAATAATAATTATGGAATTTACACTTTCATGTCCTCGCATCAGAAGGGTACTACCAAACTCACCTTGATGAAGAACTGAAAAGAGTACCAAGATCTAGATCCAAAAATAAAACAAGAAAAAAAAAGATTGTTTGGTAATATCTTCTTTCGTTTTCCTAAAAAAGTAAAATAAAGTGTTGAGATCTTCTCAATACATTGATTGATTACGAGAATCTCCACCGTTCTTTTCACTTTTTTACAAAAATAAAAATAAAAATTAAATCTGTTACCAAACAAAGAAGATGTTCTAATAACCCCATGATCAGAAGCACCAAAATATAGAAGCTGCTAATATCTAGAAAAAATTAGCATTTTCATCTAGGATCATATCGCTAAGCTGTTCTTTCCCTTGTGTGGAAATACTTTCATCGAACAGCCATTTCTCTAGCAAAGAAAACGGCAATTGGCCACCAAGATCAGGCTTGCTCTCGTCTTGAAATAGGCTTGCCTCAGGAGACATATTTGACTGAGAAAACTCCGAATTATTAGAAGATTCAAAAGACTCAAATCCAAACAAGGACTCAAAAGCCTCAGACAAATCAATCCCATTATTATTATTGTTGTTCTTGCTGTTGTTCTTGTTGTTTGCTGTAGTAGTACTTGGAGTTCCCTCACTAGACGCAGAATCATTACCAACATTGCTCAAAGAAGTACTTTGAGTTAATGTGGAGCTAGAACTCTTGCCAGATCTCTTTGAAGAATTGTTTCTCATCCAACTCTTGAGCAATCTGGCTATGTTCTCAGTGCTTGAAGCATAGATACTTGTCGATGAGGACGACGATGTTCGGGCCTCCGGTTTCGGGCATGGCCCAGTTGATGATGATGGTTTGATCATCATCAGGTCCTGATCATCATCATTGTCATGATGAATATCATCTGGCGATTTTGAGTACTTGTCAGGAGAAAGAGCCTCCGAAAGGGCTTGTTTCGCCATTCGGATGTCGGTTTGGAGCCTCCGCTCCCACTGGCCTCGGGACATCGAGTGATGAGAAGATGAAAAGCCATGATCTCTGGGCTGATCATGGCCGTCTAGGTCCGTTTGAAGCTGAGCCTGCTTGTTGAGCTTCTTCTTCAAGTAGGTGTTCCAGTAGTTTTTAATGTCATTGTCTGTTCTCTGTGGAAGATATGAAGCTATTGCAGCCCATCTGCAGAACATTCAATGCGCCATAAATTTTAGGCCGAACTGAACAAACCATGCCCACCTAACTTTAATATTAATTCCTCAAAATAAAATAAATGAAAGCACTTGAAAAGAATGGTACTGCACATCCCTATAGGAAGTTTGAAAGATAAAAATGCAATTTTATTTTTTGTGGACAACTAAGTACAAGTGCTACTGAAAAAGTTCTTGCGAGCCACAGATAGAAAATAATTTTACTATAGAGGAGAGAGAAAAAGAGTGTTATATACCTATTGCCCAAAAGAGCTTGAAGGTGTATGATCATCTTCTCCTCGTGATCTGTGAAGTTACCGCGTTTGATCCCTGGCCTAAGGTAATTAGTCCATCGGAGCCTGCAACTCTTGCTACATCTAAGCAATCCTGAATTTGTGACACACAAATACAAGCATGTTTAGAATTGATATCCTTGAAATATAGAGAATATGACCCTAAAAAGTTAGATCGGTTAATGTATAAAAATCATAACTTTGTACTTTCCCTTTCAAACCCACTTCATAAGATTAAGTAAAGAAAAAAAAAATCATGGCTCTCATATATATCCCTGATGATGAAGGAAAACCAAGGTTACATTTGATTATTATGTCAATGTTCAAAAAAAGTTAGAAAAATAACCTGTATTAGTAGGAACAGCCCTCCAATTGCCAGGACCATGTTCTTGAATGTAAGAGACCAAAATGATGTCTTCTTCAGGAGTCCAAGGTCCTTTCTTGACTCCTTCTTTATCACAACATGGAGGCCTTCCCATTTCCACCTGGTTTCTCTATATCAAGTCCAAACTTCTTCTCAAGTACACAAAATATAATTATAGACTAACTAGGGTTTTCTTCTCTTGGTGTTTTTTTTTTTTTTTTTTTTTTTGGAACTTTTCGATATCTGGTTTTCTTTCTCGGAAAGTGGTAAGAGACCAAGAGAGACTAAGGCTAATTACTAGGTTTGTGGCATGTAACTGCATATATTTATAGAAAACGAAGGAGAAGAAGAAGAAGATGAGAGTCCCAAAGAGGAAGAGGAAACGCTGACCTATGATGAAGAAAGAGGCAAAAACCAAAGAGTCAAAAGTTGACAGCAAACGCATTTACTCAAGGGCATGCCAAAGTCAGCTGTGGCAATACCTCTTCTGCCTCTCAAAACCGCGTGCATTCAATGTGGCTGCACTGGGAAAAAGCCAAAAAAAAAAAAATTTTGAAATAAAAAAAAAAACTTTTGAAAAATTAATTAATTGGCTTCAATGTCACCAGACCCAATATAACATGAATAGTGTGTGTTGAGCTGACTCTAGTGTTTTTTGCAATGCCCTTTTCATGAAATTGCATTTAAATCACTGTGTTCTGCTACTATATGTATATACCCTCTTTATCTCTATCTCTAGATTATCTTTTTTCATTAGTTGACTTGGTTAAGCAGTTCTTATCCTGATTAATCAGTTGTCATCTTCATTTGCAATAATGGTGATGATGATGCATTTTGCTGATGATTAGGATGGTAAATCTAAACTATTATAGTACTGCTAGTAATTCTTTTTTTTTTCTTTTAAGAAAAATTTTCTACTCTTTTTCTTTTCTTCTATCTTTTTCTTTCTTTCTTTCTTTCTTTTTGTAATTTATAGTAGCTACATAGGTACTATTACTAGTAGTGTACGCCTTTCTTAAGCCCTAAACGAGTATAAAAAGAAATCTAAAATATGATTACTCAGAATCAATCACTAAAACCAATAGGCTTTTTTTTCCGTTCTTTTTTTTTTTTTGGCTGCCGCCGTAGAATTAATAGGTTTATTTTCTCGTCATAAAATATCTTGCATCTAGGATTTGGTATAATCCTTTAGCCTAACTTTCTCTTCTAGTTTTCTTTGATCATCTTATTTTTACCAGACTTAATTAGTAATGAATAAGAGATGGATTGTACACTTTATAGTCTCCGGCCAATTTTATTTTTCTCGTTAATCTTTTTTTTCTTTTAGGGCCATTACTCGTTATTCCCAAAGCACGCTTGTACACCTTGTAGATGCTCGAGCATAGCCTTAATTATTTCACAAATATACATATTTACTCCACAAGCACATAATTAGGTTGTATATGTACTATAGTCTTTGGATATAATATATATATATATATCCTCTTTGGTAAAAGTTAAAGAATAATCGATAAACTAGCTACAATATATACAATAAAAAGAAATATATCAGGTATTTCTGAAAATATATATACATGCTTATTTTGGTGAGTGCCTGAACTTATAATTTTTGATACATCGCATGTACGTATTCTTATTAATAAGTGTGTATTTTCTGAGTCTAAATCTACTGTCTCAGAATTACTGTCTCTATAGCTGTTCCCCCAATCAATTTTTGACACCTCACTTTAATTTTACACATCAGACGTCATTATAAACTGTGTTATTTAACGTCAGAGTAATATATATATAAATACTAACGTCTACCGGTGTAAGTGGTCTACATTGTCGTCGCCATCAACATTTTATCAAACAACAGACTTTAATAAGAGTAGAAGCCTATTAACAGTGTTTGGGGACATCAGAGCAAAAAAACAACGTTTGGGGACTTCTTTTGTACTTTTTCTGAAACGTCTTTGGAATTATTTTAGTAAAAAAGAACTAAATGGAGAAATATCAAAATCTTCTCGGCAATTGCCACTGCCGCTCT